CACTTCTTGTCTTGTTTCTGTGCCTTGTCCATAGTTTTGAGTTTTACTTCTTGGAGTTTTCCTTAAGTAAAATTAGAATTTATGTAGAGCTGTATTTTTTTAACCAGGCCTTTTCCTTATATTTCCATTCTGATTTTTCATCTTAGCTCTATAAGGTGACTGTGGCAGGTGTTACTTTATCTTTATGAATTGTGAAGTTCATACTGCTAGGAAGTGGCAGAATACTGTTCAAATCTGGTTCTTTAGCTCGATTTTGAGCCTTTGTTTTGAGCCAGGGGTTCTCAGCCCTTGATGCATGTTAGGATCACCCCGGGGAGCTTTTTAAGACAAGGGCAAAAAGGGGTCAAATATATGGTGATGGAAGGAGACTAGACTTTGGGTGGTGAGCACGCAATGGAGTATGCAGATATTGTATTATATAAAGTTGTACACCTGAAGTTTGTATAATGTTGTTAGCCAGTGTTATCCCAATAAATTTAATTTACAAAAGAAGAAATACTGATACCTGGGCTTCACTTCAGGCCAATTAAATCCCAGTCTCTGCAGGTGGACCTCAGTGTATTTTAAAAGCTCCCCAGGGGATTCTAATATGCATCCAGGGCTGAGAACTACCCTGTTTCCTTCCCTCTCTGTCAGAGGATGGACATAGCAACCATTTTTAAAAAATAAAAGCAGGTAGAGTAGAAACCAGGGCTCCAGACCTGCTCAGCTGGATTCTGCCCCTGCTCGCCTCCTGGGCACATAAGACTTGTTCAGTCCAGAGTTGGATGTGAGCTGGGGGCACTTGGAGGTAGAGAACATGATTTGAAGACAATTTTTCAAAGGTTCTTTTACTGTTGAGGAAATGAGCCCAAGAAAGAAATTCCAGAGTGAGCAGAAGAGCCTTTTTGCCTGTGTACTGTAATTCTCAGTTGGGTGGCTGACATGATACTCCTGTGATTGTGATGGTGGGTTGCCAAGCCTTCGTCAGAACAAAAATACCGACTCCCCCTGGAGATCCTAAACCTGACCTGGGGAGGTCTTCCTCAGGGAGCAAATTTCCTTTCACTGCACGCCCTCCCTTCGTTCCTCCACCTCCTGGGACCTACCTCCTGGGACCCTGTTGGCACTGGGGTTAGAGTGAGGCTGTTTATGCTGTGACACAGGTGAGCTTGGGGTTTTGGGGATTGCTGACTCTGTAGGCAATTAATTGGATCTACATATAAATCTCATTTTTCATCTCAGACAGTGCTAAGAAAGTCATAATTTCTCAGATATCAAATGCTTTAAAATGTCAGTCATCTGCTCTCTCCATTTGGAGAGGATTTTCAGTTGTTTTCATGTCGCCTGTTTGTGTTCCTTTGGCAGTGCTACTGAGAGTTAGATTTTCACTGCAGAGCATCAGGCAGTGGCGCAGGAGATCTTCTTAGTCCAGTCTTAGCAAAAGATGTCTGCCCAAGTTGACACAGCTGTTCACTGGTTAGGACTGTTTGATAGTCGCTGCCACAGGCTGTTGCTATAGGTTTATATATTTGAAGATATTTAGTATTTACGTGCCATAGTCCAACTTTTTCATAAAGTATATATGGAAATTAGCTCACTAAATTAAACTAGTCTGGCCTAAAAAAAAAATAGTAAGCAAATAGTGCATTTTTAAAAATTAAGAATATGAGCAACTATACTACTATCATACTTGAAGTATGGGTGGGAAATAGTATAAGCCTGAAAAATATGTGTATAAATAAATAGGAGTACATAAAGAAACAGACTCTTAGACTAATACGCAAAAAAGGTCCAACCAGTCTGCCAGCATGAGATAGAATGTGCCCTCATTAGCCAAGCAGTGGCACCTACCAGGGTTTCCTCAGGGTTAAGGAACCAAATAATCACCCTTTTTGATGTTCAGTCTCAATCTTTGTCAGTGGAGGAAAGATAGTTACAGATATAGGTCTGTGTGTGTGTGTGTGTGTGTATGTATCCCCATAGGCTCCCTCAGGGAATAAGGAATCTCAACCTGCCTCTCATCAAGANGTATGTATCTCCATAGGCTCCCTCAGGGAATAAGGAATCTCAACCTGCCTCTCATCAAGAGCCACAGAAACCTGCATAAAAACAAAAGAATAAGCCTAGAACTTATATCAAAGTGTAGAAAGTTTTTTTTTTTTAAATTATCTTAGAGAAAATAAGTTTTATTATTAATTGATTTCCCACCTTCTGGGAAGCTGTCAGTTTTAAAATGAGACCAAATCATGTATCTAATGATAAATCTGATTTCTATTTTGGGAAGGCTATAGAAGAGGACAAGTATTTTAGTGTGATCTGTGTATCTTACAGAGAGGTGTTTTTTTTCTTTTTAATCTTCACCTGAGGATACCTTTTCCATTGCTTTTCAGAGAGAGAATGGAAGGGGGGGAGAGAAAGAGAGAAACATCGCTGTGAGAGAGACACATCGACTGGTTGCCTCCCACACACACCCTGACCAGGGGCTGGGAGTGAACCTGCAACCCAGGCACGTGCACTTGAGAGTTGAACCCTTGACCCTGCAGTGCACAGGCTGACGCTTCAACCACAGAGCCACACCAGCCAGGGCTACTAGAGAGTTCTTGAAGTCAAGCCTTGAGTTCTGATATGTCTCTACCTAAATCTCCAGTATGTTAAGTTCCAAAGTGGATGATGAATTATAGACTTAACCTGGTTTATAAAGTTTTAGTTGCATTGCTGTTATTATTTCCATGGAAAGTTTATCACCTTTCCTCTGTTTAAAAGTGGTAATATTGACATATAACTATGACTTTATTGGTTTAAAAGAGAATATGAGATAACTATTAGTGTTATAATGAGAATATATAAATTTAAAGGCCAACTTCCTGAACTTACTGATGATCACTAAAGCTCAGTTGCAGAGGTCAGAAATCTTAAAGATTGTCTGACTGCCCATTACCCTCATTTTACAAAGGAGACAGTCACCCTCTAATTTTGAAATTATGGCCTTTTTTTCATCTGCAGTGATTGATTATTTACATTTTTAAATAAGAAAAAAAGATTGGGACTGGCCCCTGCTAATTTAATGGTTCTTTAAATCACTTACTTTTGAGCATCTGTACAGGTCATAAGCCTAGTATTTTTCATAAGAACCAAGATGAAAATGAAAGCAATGGCAATTTTAGGTGAAATAAGTGTGCATGTGTACATACACACACACACACACACACACACAGACCTATATCTGTAACTATCTTTCCTACTTGATTACATGAGCATTAATTCTGTTTGTGTGTCATATACTTCTCCCTCTAAGTGGAGTGGACAGTAGATTTTCGCAGAGTTACTTTTGAAACCCAAGTCTGTTCTTCTGATTAGTCCTTTCCCTCTCTGCCCTCAATATCTTATGCACCTCCCTCCCCATTCTGCAGATAACCATTCAGAGGAGGGATAAAAAGCAGGGCTCTAGGTGTCCTGGCCTAGCTGTCTGAAGCCAGCACTATGGCACTTTGTTTGCGGTGTCAGTGACACCACAGATGGCCTTGCCTGTTCTGCCCATGTACAGGAACCATTAGGGCCACTTAAAACCATTAAGACCTTTATTTCTGACTTGCAATAGACAAGCACACTCTAACCCAAGTAGAAACTAGATTTACTGTCATTTTCAGTTAGAAAGTAAGATTCCCAAGGCCTAATGGGTTCTTTGTTTTATTTTCTCCATTTATTAGAAATCATCAGAAACTTGATATCTGCATTACTTCTTTTAAATGTGTACATATATTTAATTTGATTCTGAATGATCTAGAATGGTCTCCACATTTAATAATGATTATATTGTCCTGGAAGAGTCATTGACTCTGACTGCAAAAGGGTATATTTCTGCTTGTGAACCAGAGCATGTTCACAAATGTTAGATGTTTTCTTGGAAAACAATGAAGAAACTAGGGTTTAAGTGTTAGAGGGTCTGAGAAATTGGAGGGCTTCCTGGAGACATGGAAAGAACTTTAGCATCAGAAAGAGCTGGTCCGAGTCCTGTTAACCATGTTCTGGCCATGTGTCTCAGTGAGCTACCTCACATCTTGAGCCGATATAATGTGAGAATTACACTTCCTATCTTTGAGGATTAAATGAAATAATGGGCCCACAATATCTAACAGAGTCTGGCTTCTCAGTTAGACAGTCAGTAATGGTAGTTATTGTTTTTGCTGTTCTTAATAGGAAGATTCTTCTCACTATCACCACACAAAATAGAAAGTGTGACTCTGGGCAGGCTGTGGGGACTCAGAGAGAGAGGGCATTCCAGGTAGAGGTAAGGAATGTATGCAGAGTTGGAAAGCATGGAATTTCAGTTTCATTTTCCTCCCACAGAACAGCTAAAATTAGAATGAATATGGTTGGTGGTTAGAAAAAGTTGAACCCATGTTCCAAAGGAATTCTTTTCCTTCTCTTCAATTACCCATTTCCCTGTCAACTTAGGAAATAGGAAATATCAGAAATGTCTTTCTCCCTCTTCCTGTCTGTCTTTCTTAGTCCTGACTTGGCCTTAGGAAAGCAGTCTGATTTTGAGATCCATATTTGATTCTGCAGGCACAGCCATGTCTGATTCTGGAGTGCTTGCCTGTGGTCCAGAACCTCCTGTTGACCACAATGATGATGACCTGACAAGCAGGCAGTGTTCTGGACATAGGAGCTCACTCTGACTCATCTCCCTTTTTTGGTGGTCTTTGTAGGCCAGAGACCTAGGGACTGACCCAAGTTTCACACATCTGACCTTGCTCTGTAGTTTTTATTAAAGAACAAACTTATTTCAAGACACAACAGGATGTGTAGCTTCAGACTGTTCCTCAGCTGAAGTGCAATGAGCGCAGTGCCTATGTGCACAGCCTGCACTGGTTTAAGTTGAAGAACCTCCACATTGGGAAACCACCCATTCCCATTAAGTCAGGGGGATGCTTTCAGATCCACTAACCACTTCTTCTGTCCTCTCATGTGCAGAGAAGCTCCCATGGAAGCCGAGGCTGAGGTGCGTGCGGATGCCACCTGGACAGTTGTCTGATTCACGTTGACATTTGAAGAGTTGATGTTTGAAGAGTCACAGAATGAGGTATGTTAATACAGCTGGGGCCTCACAGTTAGGTTGGGACTGTAAAGGTTACCTGAAAACAGGTAGAACTCAGAATGCTGTGATGTCTGATGTTGAGTTAGGCCAATGAGAAAGGGTTCTTTTCTACCAGTACTTCTTGTTTTTGCTATTTAGATGCTTCGGTTTACTTTATTGTTTAGTTTATTAAATATGCACGTTAGGCTGATACATCGACTATGATTTTTTCTTATATCTTTACACTGATGAGAGCATTGTATGTAATCTAAATATTTTAGAAACCAAATTAAGCTGAGGGTCTTAACCCCAAATCATATTTATATATCTACATAGTATTTTCAACTTTTTTTTATTACTGATACATGTATGGTTCCTTATGGATTTCAGACACTTTCACTCAGATTCTTTAATTGGGGCCTCATAAAAACTCTAAAAACTAATTGATGGGTGGTACCAGGGGAGCCTTTGCGTATAACCCATGCATCCTTGCGTTTCTTTTGTCCATCAAATGGAGCCTGTGACAGATTCAGAGTGTAGAGGGGCAAAAGTGATATAAAAGACTCTTTTATTCTTTTGTAAAATTCCTCTTTAATGATTCATTCATAGAGAGGTAAATGGTTAATAATGTTTAGCATGCATTATGTGTTTGCTTTGTGTCAGGGCCATTTTGTGTAAGTTCCTACTCATTAACTTTTTCAATACTCAACCGTACCCTTAAAAAAGGAAATATCACCACTCCTGTAGATATGAGGACACCAGGGCTGAAGGAGATGGACAACTGGTCCAGGTCTCACCGATTTCAAAGAATTGACCCAGAATTGCAGTCCTTTAAAAAAAAAAAGTTTGTATTGATTTTAGAGAGAGGGAGAGCGAGAGAGAAACATGCACACACCCCCACCAGGAATCAAGCCTGTAACCTGGGCATGTGCCCAGACCGGAAATTGAACCAGTGATCTAGTGGGGCATGGGTCGAGGCTCAAACGCTGAGCCACGCTGGCTGGACCAGAATTGCAGTCCTTTTCTGATAGCAGTTTCCTTTTTCTATGGTGTCATATCCTGGGCAGTCATTGCATCCCTTTTAAAATCTATCTTGAGACGTGATTTTATTATTTTTCAACTCTTTTAAGGAGTAGCATTACCTTGACCAGTGTGTAGTATGTTGGGAACCTCTGTCTTTTTTCTGTGACCTTTCTGGACCGTTTTCTCTTCTAACGATAAGTGGGTGGGACTGGGAAATGCTACTCATAAATAAGACAAGACAAATTTATTCTTCATCAAGACTGTGAGAAATGAATCAGTCTCTTGGACCTAATATTCTTTATTTACTACACAATTTTTAATTGTTCATAAATTATACATTTTTCAAGGCATTATCTTCTTTCTTTCCAGTGGCAACATTATCAGAAACTTTTCTCCTGAATGTTGTCATTCCCACTGATTTCGAACTGCCAGAGAGATTTTTTTTAAAATTTGGTTTTATTTACATAATTAGTATATGCCTGTTGTTGAAAAATTAGAAATTAGAATATTATAATGCATATGTATACATAAAAAGTTAAAACACCAAAAATACCAGAATTCAGTGATAACTGCCACTAATATGTTGGTTTAAAATTCCTCACAATTGTTTTCTTTGCACATACAATTTTAAATTACGATGGATCATAATGTCCATTTGTTCTTTACTCTTTTTGTACTTTATGCATCATGTATATGTTTCTATATCAATAAGTATATTCTTATAACACCATTTTTCATGATATATGGTATGCCACTTATAGCTATGCAAAAATATATCTAAAAAAAATCCTCTATTGTAATTTTATCAGTTGGATTTTTAAGGTTTTGCTTTATAAAGGTTTTAATGACCAATATTTTACCTAAAACTTTTTACAGTTAATTATTTCCATAACATAAATTCATAGTAAAATAGCCAGGTCAAAGAATATGTGCATGTTCTGCCTTTTGAGAATGAGAATTCTTTCAGGGGACTTCTCCCTTCCTAAGTCTTGTCCTGTCATTCTAAACGTAGCAGCTGACCATCAGGGTTTGAATGGCTGGCCATTCCATTACAACTTCATGAATTGGACTTTAAGAAAAAGTAATCTCATAGCATGAGGTTTAAAAGGCTAAAACTTTATTTCAATAAATAATATGAATTCCCAAGAACTCAGTACCAAATCTTACACTTTCATTCACTTGTTCAGATATTAATTCCACAAATGAAGTATACCTACTGTGTGCGTGACATTAAGCTAGACGCTTTTGATATGCAAGTGGGTAGGACATGGCCCATGATTTTGAGGTGTTCACTCTTTAGCAAAAGAACCTACACTTAGGTTGAGTGCTAGATATGTAGTATGAAAAGCAATGTAACAATGTAACAAGCTTGCTTTAAAAATATACTCATTATTAGCCATTTAATACTGTGACCATGAATATTCTTGATGCCTAGCCCTGAGTATTCCAAGATCCATGATCATTAGAGAAAGATTGTATCATGTTCAATCCACTGTACTGCAGAATGCACTGTGTGGACACTTCTGGCCCCTACTCCACCCAACTATGAAAGTGAGGGGTTTTGACTTCTTGGATATTTCCAGAAGTGAAGAGCCTACTACCCAGCTAGGCAGCCCATTCCATTGTTTTGTGTTAATGTTTGAAATATTATTCCTAATATTTATGAGTGAAATTATGATTTTATATCATATACCAGTTTTTCCTAATTTTAGCCTCTGAAGAGATTTAGCATGAGATCAATTCAACTCAGTCCAATTCAAAGAGTATATTTTAAGAATCTTCTAGGGTCAGAACAGCATGTCAAATATTTGATAGTAGTTATATTTTCCTAAATATTTAAGTTGATAACTTACCCTACTCAAGATAATTTAACTGCTACTATGCTAAGCCTAATAAATTTCTATAAAGCAATAAATTTGACCTCAGTTTTTGATAACACTCATGGGCTAGTTGGAATTTTTTCCCCAATTGCCTGTGAAGATAGAGATGTCTCCCCACATGTGTACAGATTACCAATGATTGTGTTAAAATGCAAGCAAAAGTCACCTGCGCCAAACTGTTAGTAATTGTGACATGAGATGCCTTGCCGTGGTAGGTGAGTTTGGTATAAAAGATAAACCTGAAATAAAAATGGGGGAACCTAGGATATCGTGTATTTGCCCATTTCAGCAAGCCACTCAATTTTATTAGGTCTCACTTAATTCATCTGTAAAATGAACAATACAGTGATCTCTGCGGGGACTCTTAGCTCCAAATTATAGGTTGGAATCTTGTGTTTGGGGGCCTGGGCTCTAGATTAAATAGCTCTGATGCCACTCAGGTTGTGGGAAGATTCCTTTCACACATGCAGCATACGTGTGGTCACAGTCGTGTACACTTCTGTGGTAGAACTGTGTCCTGTGAGGCCGACAACTCCGTGGTAGGAAATATTTCCTTATCAAAGAGGAGAAAGTGAAAAAGAAGGTTGTGGAACGTGTGTTACTTGCTGTTGAGTCAGCTCCGACTCCCAGAGACCCTGTGAATGAATGAAATCCACAATGTCTTGTCCTCACAAGCCCTGCTCAGCTCCTGCAGACTCATGCCTGTGGCTTCTTTTATGGAGTCAATCCATGTCCTATTTGGTCTCCATCTTTGACTTCTGCTATCTATTCAATATTAATGTATTTTCCAAATAACTCTGCCTTCTCACTACATGCCTGAAGTAGGACAGCTTCAGTTTTATCATTTTTGCCTCCAGAGATGTTTCCGGATTAATTTGCTCTAGGACACACTTGTTTGTCTTTCTGATGGTCCAGGGTATCTGTAGAGCTCTCCTGCAACACCATATTGCCGATGAATCAGTATTTTTCCTATCAGCTTTTCTTCACTGTCCAACTTTCTCATCCATACATAGTAATTGGGAAGATGAGGGTGTGGATGGTCTTAGTCTTGGTCTCTCATGACACAGCTGTGCTCTTGGTGATCTTTCCTAGTTCTTTCATTGCTGCCCTCCTGTATTCAACATCCAGTAGAAGAGTCAGAGCTGGGGTTGAGGTTACCGAATTCTTAGCTTCCCCCTTCTGGACTGCTCTGGGAAGGTGTGGGGGCAAGGTGTGTGTAAAAGACTTTCCTACTCCAAATTCTGAACTGCAAGTAGTTTCTGGAACACTTGGTATCTAAGAGTTAAATACTTACTAACAGGGCAACTCTGATATGCAAAAATATAGAAACAACAAAAACACATTAATCCGTAAGTGTCGTGAACTACACATTAGCAGGAGTGTTGTGTGCCTGACATCTTCTATAAGAGAACCTTCTTAGAAAACTAATACCTTCACTTTTAGCTCAAAAATGTGTTTAGCTGTTCGTGAATATTGCCTTTTTAAATTCTGTGAATGATTATATTTATTATTTCTTTACTTCTCCCTTTTCTGATACTTATTCGTACTACTTCTTGCATCTTATCTATTTCAAATTCCATACAATTGACCACATCGAAGCTTTTGTTTCATTGATCTCTTAATCCGCATTCTTGACTTTATGCTACATGCTGGTCTCTGCTTCTTTAAGGGTAAATGTTGAAGTACAGCCAGTTAACAATCCCTGTGCACTTCATCTTCACAGTTTATATTCTCTGATTAGAAGAAGTGGGTGAAAGAAAATATCAGTGCCTAGAGCCCAGTGTCTGCCAGTTTGAGGTATAAATACTCCCCCCTCCCCATAAAAACAGATCAGCCAAAGGGACGTACAATTAAGGCTTTTACTCAGCTTGAAACTAACCAGCTAATAAACTTGGGAGGCATAATTAAATGGATGGAAAAAGCAACCTGGCCATGGAGCAAGGTGCCAGTAGAAGTTTAAGGAAGAGTCTTATTTCCTGCCTGCCTCCCTCCCTCACTGTCTCCCTCCTGTCCTCCCACCTCTCTCTTTTCTCTCTTTTCTCGTGCTGCTTTTGTGTTGAATGCTCAGTCCTGACAATAATAGGAGTTTTGATATGGAAGAGA